GCAGGAGAATCACTTGAACCCAGGAGACGGAGGTTGCAGTGAGCCAAGATCACACCACTGCACTCTAGCCTGGGTGACAGAGTGAGATTCTGTCTCAAAAAAAAAATGTGTGTGTGTGTGTATATATATACGTATATATATATACACACATAAAAATAAATATGTATATCCATAAATATGTTATTACCTATTTGCAAAATTGACATACCAACTCAAGAGTGAGAGGCAGCACAACATAGTGGTTAAGAATGCAGATTCCCTGGTGAATCCTGGCATTTCTACTTGGCAATTTTGTGAGACCTTGTTCAAGCTTCCTCTCTGTGCCTCAGTTTTCTCATCTGATAAGTTAATTCTCATAAAGAAGTTATAACAAAATTTGTCATATAATAAGTTGCCAGTATTAGTAGTAGAACTATTAAAGTGTTAAATTTTTAAAATCACATTTGTAAAAGTATTAGAAATGCCTGATTCTTTCTTTTACCTCTGTAATACCATGTTTAACTGAAATAGCGGATGAAGGCCTGTGGAGTTTGGGTCTCCCTCTCTCTCTCTTGACCTTCTGATTAAGAGCTTGGGCTCTTCAGTACACAGGATGAGGTTCAGATCCCACTCCCGAAGCTGCTCAGGAGCATGTTCCTTATGGGGTGCTGTAAGAGATGTGAAGATACTTGAATTCAGTGGGTTGCTTTGATGGGACAGGTACTTGATTGAAGATATTGTATTCTGAAAGACCAGAAGAGGAGATTATTCATTCATTCACTTTTGTGTTAACGTCTCTGTTCCAATTCTGCATTTAGGCTGGTTCGGTTTTATGTCAGCTCTGTTACTACAACAATTTGGAGAACCATGTTCTGGAGTGGGCTGGTTGGGTTCTGCATTTTGGTGAAGGACTGTCCAAGGCAAGCTACTGATGTGAACCAAACCCATAGTTTCATTCTAGCATCACTTAGTGATACTTGGAACTGAGAATGATTTGTGCAGATTATGCTGTGAGGTTTGTGCTCATACAGGAGGTAGGAGTCTGTAGTCAAAGCCTTTGTTTGCTTTCTGTTTCTTCCAGTCCAGCTATGGACAATGTTTGATGAGTTAAAAATTGGCCAATGCCAGATGCGGGGCCTATCCTTCAAGGAGTTTTTTAGTAGTGGAGATGACTTCTGTGATTAGTAGCATCTTGTAGCAATCTTTCTGAAGACTCTGACTCAAGGCACACACATTTGTAAGGTACCCAGCTGCACTAAGGGACAAAGGGTGTCTTAAGGAAATAAGGCAAGAAACTGGTTCTGTTAACTTGAAGGGAAAATGTATTATGCTGTAATTGCCATAATAGATATGATTATATTTATTTTAGGGAAAATCGAGATTCAGCAGTAAACACCTCAGGCAAGCAAACCTAGCTAGTTAGTGAGGGACAAGCGGGATTCAAGCCTGGGCCCCAGGCCTCTCAGATTCCATGTGCTCTTTTTAGAGTGGCTTTCATCAGTGGGTCTATAGAATCTGATGGTAATATCTAAGTTTCTTTATTTTAAATAGTTTAAAATAATTGGGGAAGTATTACCTCAGAGTATAAGGATATTACTTTATATACAGGTTGAGCACTCCAAATCCAAAAATCTGAAATCTGAAATGCCCCCAAATCTGAAACTTTATGAGTGCTGAGCATTTGCTGAAAGGAAATACTCATTGGAGCATTTTGGATTTCAGATTAAGTATATCACAAATACTCCAAAATCCGAAATTTGAAACACTCACAGTTCCAAGCATTTCAGATAAGGGATACTTAGCCTGTACTTTAAGTTAATTTTTACTTTTGAAATATTATAAAAATATGATATTTTTGGTTGTTGATGTATCACCCATACATCCACATTTTATTTACTTCCCCCAAACAGTAGAAACTAAGAGGTTTTGTAGCCAGAGCTTTTTTACTTAGCAGGATATTATATCTGGGTGTTAGCATGATGGGGGGTGGGAACTAGGGCATTTCAGCAGCATTTTTGCTCAAGTGTTGTTTGCTTCTAGTAACTGTGGCCTGTGCCATTTGCTCTCAAGACAAAATTTAAAGATAATTTTAAAGTGTGTATCACATTCTTAAAATCAAACAGCAAAAATTCCAGTGTCTCTTGGTGTGTTTAAAAAGGTAAGACTTAAGTGTATACCTAAAACTGAGAGGTGTTTTTCAAATTAAAATGAGAGAGTTCTGAAGAACAGAGACACCTGGAGATGCCTCAGTCAGTGAGGGTGAGGGCAGAAGCTTTGGCATTTGGCCAGGGTCGAATAGTGGTTTTACCTATTTCTAACAAGTGGGCCTCACACAAAACCTCACGGTCCTAATCATGTCATGGTAGCATCAACTTGCTGGGTCATTACTAACCAGATGAGATGGCTCATGGAAGGTGCCCTGCACAGCTCCTTCTGCCTGAGCAGGCAGGGTTCTCCCCGTTGGCTGTGGTCTATGTTTCAGGCAGGAGATGCTGAGACCATGGCTGTGGAAACTTGGCACAACACTCAGCATGAGGCTGTGTGAAACTGGTGCTTTCAGTGATCCCCAGTGAGTCAAGTTTTTGATGCAAAGAAGGACATTTTCCTTCTTTCATTAGTGGGTCTCCTTGGTTTGTTAAAATAGGTGTGAAAGTAATGGATACCAAATAGATAAAATGACAATCCTAACGTTGATTTTTAAAATTTAAATGTGAAAATAGCCGAGGAATTACTGTCTTCTTAATGAAACTGGTTAGGCGTTACATGGAAATTTGAAACTGAAATTTGTTTTTAAATTTTTACTTTTTAAGTAAAATTATTATTTACAGATTGCTTTTGGAAGGAGATACTGAGTGGTGTACATCTCATCCTCCTCCCCTTCTCTTTGTTGTTTCTTCTACGTAAACACTTGGTCAAGAGAAAGTAGAACTAGAGAACTGCAAGTCCGCACTGAGTTACATTTGATTTGAAGGACGCTGGTGTTAGTTTCATGGTGACATATTAGCAGGGAGTTTGTTTTTTAAAAAATAAATTGAAAGTTTTGTTCTTGCTTTAAGTATTAAAATTATTTGGTTTTGTAAAATTGGAGAAGATGCAGGATTTGTACATTTCATAGTACAGTTAAAATATATATTTTTCTGGCAAAGAGGTTTTAAGCATGTATGTACACTGTTCATTTAAATTTACATTTCTGGATGTTATAAAACCAGCCTTGTTAGTACACGTGATTCTGGCTTTTTGGTTGGAAGGAGGGAGAATGGAGGATTAAGGCAGATTAGAGTGTTGGGATAATGTCTGACTTTTTGTGTTCTGTGCGCTCAGAAATGAAATTCCTCCATATCTGGATGTTACTATGGTGATATTAGCAAAATGTGACTTTTTGGTTGGTATAGTTACTACAGTGCTTGTAGGGGCAATATACTGAGTCACTGATTTCCTGAATCAATATGTTTTGCCAGTGCTGACACAACTTCATGAGGGTTTCTGGTGATGCAGAATTGCCACTGCCTGTCAAGATTTGCCCCATCTGTCAAACATCTGTCCCATTCCACTGTGCTCCTAATAGACTGGATTACACCCGAGAGGCTGGAGAATCAGATGAAGAGAGCCTCATGCTAGGGTTTAATAAGAATAAAAGCAATATTATTATAGCTACCATTTATTAAATCAGTCTGTGTTCCAGGCACTGTGCAAGATGCATTATGACATTATCCTGAATGCATTTAAATGGAAGTTACTTCCTAAGCTTAGCTGCTGCTTGCTGCATGAATTTATGATCTTAAGTAGACGAACTTGGACTCTCTGGACTGAGATGCCCCCTACTTTAAAACAGGGATGATCTCTCACTGATACTGGGAAGAAGAGCTCTGAGCTCTGCAAGATTAAAGGTGCTACTGTTTTTATGGTAACAGTGCATTTTTGGCATTTGAAAGTCTATAGACGCACACATTCGGCTTCTGTCTCAGCCCTGAGAATGGTTGTGTTTTATTGGCTGATGAGTTATTTCCACATATCACATATACAAGGTATTTGAATGAAGGTGCTTTGTAGTCATGACACACTACTCTTTTATTAATTATTAATATCTTAAGATTACAATTTGAGAGGTCGAGATGATACTGTTTTTAATGGGTGTGGGTGGTGGTGGTGATAGGCATTTTTACCCTGGGAAGTGACCTACTAGGTTTTATTAAGTGTTGCAATTTGTCCAGTATGTGTATGGGGGAGGGGAGGTAGGAAGAATCTCAGAAATTTCTCTTATACTTTTTTTTCCTTCTGTTCATTTCTAGTCTTTATAACCTGGCTTCACTGGAACTGAGAGAGAATCTTCTTACATATCTTCCTGAGTGAGTCTTTAGGGAAAATAAGAGGAGATTTTGTGCAGAATGAATTTAAGTATTTTAAAAAAAACAGGACTACAGTATTACGTCAAAAGATTTGTGTGTTTTGGGAAGTTTGGGGGATGCCAACCGGCCTTTTCTTAACAGTCCTTCCTGTGCAATATTTTTTACCATAGAAATCAAATTGGACCTTATTTTTGAAGCTACTCCAAGTGAGGGATACTATATTGCTCGGCATTTCTAAGTATTCTCTAAGTGCGCTTTGTTTATTTTTTAAAATAGCTCTCTTACCCAGCTTCGGAGACTAGAAGAACTTGATTTAGGAAACAATGAAATATATAATTTGGTAAGTCCGTATTTGAGATTTGAATTTAACTTTGTTTTTAGTTATGATCGCACAGTATTTGAGGGAGTTCTATGGGGATCTATACGAAGCCAGTATTTCCATAGATGTAGCTTGGGAACACTAGAGAACCAGCTTCATTTCACACAAGTTAGGAATTATGCTTCATGGGTGGGGGAGGTCAGGATTAGAGATGATGGACATAGGTGGAAACAACTGGCGTTCTTGGGGAAAGTTTGGGCACTTTGAGGAAAGGGAGTCGATGTTAAGAGAAGTACCAGTGAACATCTGCTAAGGTACCCAGTTGTTAACAGATGAATTCAGATTCTTTCTTTCTTCAGGGAAGACTGAACATTGAATCTTTGTTACCATACCTTTTTTTTCCTTTTGTTTTAGCCAGAATCAATCGGAGCCCTCTTACATCTAAAAGATCTCTGGTTGGATGGAAATCAGCTGTCAGAATTACCTCAGGTAGGTGGTAATTTCACAGTGTCTCCCCAGAATGTAAAACAGCAACAATAAGCTTTGTGTATTTCCTGCTGCCACATAAGGTTTGCTATAAAAGGATCTTGAAAACCAAAAACATTGATTGAAAAAGCACATTTGGGAAAACATATTGAGCATGCATCATTCTCCATTGCCATATGAAAACTGAAAACCTCAACCCACCATTTGTAAATGTAGTAAATATTTCCTTTAGTTTGTGAAATCTGTTTTTTATTGTGTCCTTGCTACCCATATAGCTTACTTCAAGCCCAGCAGGTTAGTAAATTGCCAGCACCCATGATTCTGATGGTGTACCTTTCTGCCACTCCGTGATGTGCCAAGTGCTTTTGGGATAATTTGACCATGTTTTGCCCCGTAATAGTTCGTGTAAAAGCAATGTTAAATGCTTTTATTTCATATTTTTCCAAATGTTTCTTATGGTTTAGCTGGCATGTCGTAGTGTTCAGGCCTTTCCTACTGTTCCCAAGTGGAAGAACCATGTGCCAAATGAAGTGGAGTCTTGTGTAGACTTCTGAGCACATAGTCATCTTGTGGAGTCCTAGCAGACGGGCCTACATTCTGAGACAGAAACTGAGAAACCTAAAACAAACAAAAACCAACAGGCATTTTCCTCTTGTATTTTTTTCTCCAACTGTTACTGAATTTTATTCTTTCGTGTCTCTCATAGCCAGTTTTTCATATGACCAGTTGTAAAGGGCTCTGTACTTTCAGTGGGGAATGCCATATCAATGCAGGGAACCCTAATACTAGAAGAAAGCACTTTAGTAAATTTTTAGTTGTTATAGCGCTGAAGTTGCCATGATGTCACCTAATGACTAATGGAACTAAGGAACTAATTTAAGTCTGTTTATGAGATCTTGGCTACAACTGGGGAAAGGAGACAGATTAGCAACTCTTGTGGGTAGAGTTCGATTAGTACTTGGATTTTTCTAGGAAATACATGGGACATCCTGGTTGGGAGAATGCTAGTTACTTTAGAAGTCCAAGGATGGCAGAAAAATATCATGACATTATCAGGAAAGTAATAAATCTGTGGGACATAAAGGGGAAAGGAAAGAGTTGCGTATGTTCAGATGTGTGTAAATGACTTTGTGCAGAGTGTGATATTCTAAATACAAAGAAATTAAAATTGCAATGATTGTGCTGTAAATGATTATTTAAAAAATGTCATTTGCTCCTATAGTATAAATTTGTGTTAAATCAGCATTAAACACACAAAAAAGTCTCAAATAATTAGAATGATTTTTCTTATCTTCAATGATGATGGAAAGAGAAGGATAAAAAGGTATTGTTAAAAGGAGTTAATGAAGAGTAGAACAACTTCAGGGATCTGGTCTGAAATTAGTAGAAATCTAGTCTAGTTTCCTTTAGACAGGAAATACAGGGACAGGATCATAAGGCAATATCAGGTGGATGATAAGCTGAAAAGAATAGATCAGACCAAATTAAATGTAGATGGAGGAATTTGTACTTATGTAGACATCAGGGAGCCACAAGATATTTTTTGAATAGAAGGTCATCCAGTTATAGGACGAGAACTGGCTGTGTTTCAGGAAGGAAATGAGGAAGCACAGTTTATGGAATGGTCTCAGGAACGGGGAGTTAAGACTAGAGCCCAAGAGGCAGAACTGACAGTCAAGGTAAGGGAGTAATGAGGGTAAGATTTAATATTGGGAAGTGGAATGGAAAAGTAGAGGCAGTGATAAGAGAGAAAGCTTGGACTTTGGGAATGGAAAGAAAGGTAGGTCTTGAATAGAATGTTAGACTCATAGAGGTACTTTACCTTATCCTGGTAGACTGTTTTCACTAAAGGCAGTATGCTGCTTTTAATGTTAAAGGTACAGATAGATCTGTATGTTCCAGTTTTGCTGGGGAGCAATTGCATTGATGTTTGTGCTAACAAATGCTACCTGTCATGGAAGAAAATACAAAGTAGGTAGGTTCTTACCAGAGGAAATCCCAGGGTCACCCTACAGTGTAAGCTACTTAGATTAGTTCCAAACTTGAAAAGCTAAATTCTAGCCTCCTTTTCCTTTTGTGATTGTGTGACCTTGTAGTTGTTTGTTCTCCTGTATCTTTACCTATTAAGTGGGAATGATTCCTTGCCTGCCTGAAAGGTGGAGGGCTTTTTGTCCCTGCCAGCTCTGTGTCTGTGATTCATACAACTTCCCACTTTCATTGGAAGGGGATCTAGGAATTTGCCCCTGCCTTCAGATTTGGATTCATGCTAAAGATAACATCCTTAGGACCGCCCTGGGATTTAATTGTGAAAAATCACTGGAACAAATGCCTCTGCACTGTGGCAGGTTTAAGTGTGCGTTTATTTTTCCATGTCATTGTTATAGGAAATAGGAAATCTGAAGAACCTGCTGTGCTTAGATGTCTCTGAAAACAGGTTGGAAAGACTTCCTGAAGAAATCAGTGGCCTGACTTCATTAACGGATTTAGTCATTTCCCAGAACTTATTAGAAACTATTCCGGATGGCATTGGTAAGCATTGGAAATCACTAACTGCTAAAGATACTGCCTGCCGTCGTCTTGAGCATTTGGAGCACACTTTGATCCTTTGGTCACCGCTTTCAGATGCTGAGAATGTGGCTCCTTAAAGTCTCCTTGCTGTTTGTTTTTAAAGAAGGAAAGCAAAGAGCATTTATTACAGCAGAAGTTTCTCTATATGCAGATGTTTCTGTCATCCTGGGTTGGTATCTACCTGCTTAAAAGTAACTGCTGTCATTACTCTATATGCAGATGTTTCTGTCATCCTGGGTTGGTATCTACCTATTTAAAAGTAACTGCTGTCATTACTTTTAAGCATTGATTCATCTTTACTTCATCTATGTCTTCTCCCAATGATTTCATGAGGGATTACCCCAAATAATAAAATGTATTTAAGGCATATGAGCAGTCACTAAGAAATTTCTAATTTGGCATCCTAATAGCTTATTTATTTTTATATATTTATTTTTTTAAGATGGAGTCTTGCTCTGTCACCCAGGCTGGAGTACAGTGGCGTGATCTCGACTCACTGCAAGCTCTGCCTCCCGGGTTCACGCCATTCTCTTGCCTCAGCCTCCCGAGTAGCTGGGACTACAGGCGCCCGCCACCACACCTGGCTAATTTTTTTTTGTATTTTTTAGTAGAGACGGGTTTTCACCGTGTTAGCCAGGATGGTCTCGATCTCCTGACCTCGTGATCCACCTGCCTCAGCCTTCCAAAGTGTTGGGATTACAGGCGTGAGCCACTGTGCCCGGCCAGCATCCTAATAGTTTATGAGAAAATAACTGACTTATTCCATGACCTCAGGGAGGTGCTGGAAGAGTGGCATAACTGAATTGAACCTTTGTTTAGTTCATCGATAATCCTTTAATCATTCTGTGCTATTTTCTTTAAAAACAATCAATCCAGACATTTTGTTTACTATGAAGGAACTTATTCCAGTGTGAGAAATAAATGGAGAGAAGGTATAAACCGATACGGACTTGGGAGCTCCATCATAGCAAAGCCACTTTGAAGTTGAAAGAGACTTTATTTAACCATGGAGTTATCATAGGATTGCTGTCTTTAATTTTATTGAGAACATCAAGGAAGCTTCTGAAAGGTTTTCAATAGTTGGAGAACTTGTATGGCAGAGGACCACCCCCTCCGTGGTATGTGGTCAAGATGAAAATTTCAGTAGAAATTCAGACATTGTATTTTGGTTAAACCCGGCTAGAAAATCGATAGGGATTTTGACTCTATGCAGAGATGTTCACTGAGAATCGTTTATGGCATCTGAAAAGGGTTGTAGAGACTGGGCATGTTTTGTTGCTTGGAATGGGAAGCAGCAGAAAGCATGAGAGGATGACTTCAAACGTTTAAAGGACTGCCTTTCAAAGAAAGAGATGTATTACAGCTTTCTGATCAAATGAGCAAAATGAAAGGATTGTGAAGCTCAATTTCATTTAAGAAAGAGCTTTAAAAAGCAAAGATGGCTGGGAATGGCTCACACCTGTAATCCTAGCACTTTGGGAGGCCAGGAGTTTAAGACCAGCTTGGGCATCGTAGTGAGACTTCCCGTCTACAAAAAATAAAAATATTAGCCAAGTGGGTTGGCACACGCCTGTAGTCCTAGCTACTCAGAAGCCTGAAGGGGAAGGATTGCTTGAGTCCAGGAGTAGGAGTTTGGGGCTGCAGTGAACCATGATTGTACCACTGTACTCCAGCCTGGGCAATAGAGTGAGGCCCTGTCTCTTAAAAAAGAAAGAAAGAAAAAAAAAAAGGAAAAATATGTTACAAATTCATTTGGGCTGCTTAATGAAGAAATGAGTACCTTGTCACTAGAAGTATTCAAGGGGAGGCTAGAAGACTAGTTGCCAGGAGACTTCTCTGTTGGGATGAGATGTTTCAGTGCTTGGCTGTGCTATTCAGTATACCCTGCAGAAAATGCTAGTGGGTCTCCTGACAGTGAGGGCAGGTCGAAGCCCTCCAACGACAGCATTAGGCTATTGACTATGCTAAATAAAGAGCTTAAGAATTGGTTAGTTCTTCTATCTTGCCCTGTGGCTGCACACGAGGCAGGATACACCTTTCGATATTTTTCTTTCTCCAGCTTTATGACTGCGTTAGAATAGAGGCTGTTTTCTGATGTAGTGGGGAAAGTGTCAACTTCCCCACTACAGTAGAGAATGAAGGGTGCCGCTTAATCCCATGACTTGTTGAAGTGAGAATCTGAATGACTTTGCTAGTGGCTAGTGGGGACTCTGAGGAGGCTGCAGTAAGACTTGTTCTTCTTTCCCATGAACAGTGGGTATCACCAGGATGTCCAGTCTTCCTGGCCTGAGTGAAATAGACTCCGTCTTTAATATGGCTTTCCTGAGGTTACCACTTTATTCTGGACCTATAGAAATACTGCGCTGTAGGGCTCTTCACTGAGTCATTTTCATTCATAGGTGATTTAATAAACTATTTCTTTTGTTTATTGTAAGGATAATTCTTGGAGTAAAATGAAAGTCTCCTCTGTGCATGAAACACCTCCATGGAGAGAAAGCTGTTTTGTTTTTCTGTAAATTTCTTGGCTTTGCTGTGATGTTTTTATGCTTTTAAAAATGTTTTGTTTCTAATTGCCAATCGTTTTTGATGTTCTAAACAAATTATTTTAACTCCCAACCTTCATGGTCTAAATGATAGAGTTTCATAATGTGAAAAGCTAGATGAGGAAGAAATAAGTAACTGTTTGAAACAAAAAGAACAGCAGATAGGAAATTCCAAGCAGTGATTACGAAAATAATTGTAACTAATGAATTTGATAATAATAATAATACTAATGATGCTTTTACAGGAAAACTGAAGAAACTGTCAATCTTGAAGGTGGATCAGAATAGACTCACACAGTTGCCTGAAGCAGTTGGGGATTGTGAAAGTCTCACTGAGTTAGTTCTTACAGAAAATCAGCTCCTGGTAAGTGTGGTTTGCACATACATCATAGAGACTTACTAGGGTAGATTCTACTTATTTGTAATTTGAGTGGACTAAATGGAAATTTCTTCATATTATATCCCAGAAGGGTCTTACAAAGCAAATGCATGACCTAAAGATCAGTTTTTAATCTGCTTAAGCAAAGAAAGTAGTGCTTAGGTTTCCCTGTTGAGCTTGTGTCCCAGTTGTGGTGCTTCGAATATAGGGACTGAACAAATGCCTCACAGATGTCTCCAGTGAGGTGTGGGGATAAGCTACTCTCGATGGATGTGTTGATGCCCCAGCTGTGGTGCCCAGAGACCACCACTGGGAATATTCATCAGGATTCCTCTGGCCTCTCCTTGGGTTCTTTGAGCAAATGGGAAGAACAGGAGAGATGAGAAAAGAGATGAACATTGTCCAGGAAAAGCCTTGATAGGATGGGGGCTGGGAAATGCTCTTGATCAGGGAGCCATAGGATGGTATCTAATGGGCTCTGGTTAAGGCAGCTTCTTATTAGAACTTTGGGGTAGAGGAGGGGTTCCTCCACCTGGACCAGGCTTCCACCAGACAAGGGCAGGGGTTATGCGTGCACCCCCTGGCAAAGGGTGGGTGGGCAGGGTGGCAGCAGATCTCAGTTGTCTTTTCCTGTCCTGCTTCCCCCTCTGCTTTTGTCAGTCCTTCAGTTGTCACTTCTTCTTCTTCCCCCCTCTTTTAGTTGTCATATAGCCACTCTGTTTTCTTCAGTTTACTTTCCTACTTTTCTCTTTTCTTTTCTCCATCTTCATTTTGTCACTTTATTATTTTTTTTTACTCTCTTTTCCCTTTTCCTTTTCCCTTTTCTCCTTTATCTATAAATAGAGTAAGTAATGCTCTTTAGGTAGAAAGAGCAAAAAGAACAGCAAGAAAGGATGGAGTGCACAGATGTGGGTGGGGAGCCCAGTAGCCCCTCCCCTTAGACAGCTCAAGCAGCCAGCCTCTGGCAGGTGTGGTGGGAGTTACCAAATCTTCCAGTCCTGCTTTGTGATTTTAGGCTTACAAATAGTAATCATAACAACTGTAAAAATAATATTCACCCCTGGATTGCACTGGAGTATTGAAGACTCCCATGTGGGTGCCAGCCTGGTTCTGGTAGAGCTCTGCTCCCCACTCCAGGATGCTTACCTTTCTCCCATCCCCATAGCCCTCGCCTTCCCCTGCCCATGTGGCACCCTGCTCTGGGTGCTGGTTCCCTGCCTCAGTGCTGTGGCTTCCACAGACATCTAAGCCACTGTCCCAATGTGGTCCTTGAAGGTGCAGGCAGGGCAGGAATGAATCTTGAGGGTGCAAATTCTCACTCACTTGAGTTGAACAGCATTTATTTCCCTTTACAAGATGTTTCCCTGTTCCCAGGTCTCTACTTTTGATTTCATTCCTTTAAAACAGACTTACCATTTCAGCAAAAATTCAAAATACTTAATGTCACACCCCCTAAGTGAACATTACAAATATCTAATATTCAGCAAAAACTATTGCTTCTGTTGCTGGATGAGATTATATTCTTTAGGTCCTTCCAGATATCTTATTTACTGTGAGCCATGTTAAAAATATGTGTTACATTAATAATGAAATTGTTATTTTAACAGACCCTACCTAAAAGCATTGGAAAACTAAAGAAGTTGAGCAACTTGAATGCAGACAGAAATAAATTAGTGTCCTTACCAAAAGAGGTATGTGCTTTTAGAGAAATCATGTGATCATATTATGAAGAAATAATCACAATACATAAGGGATCAAAAATGTCAAATGCTTTGAAAAGACGCATGTGTTGCTTTTAAAGGTGTGACCTCCAATCTGTGAGTATAGAGCCGACTGGAGGAATTATGTCAAAGAATGGTCATCAGTAACATTAAGGAGAGTTGGGAAAGGTGAATTTATAGGATTTTAAACGGGAGAAAGAAAGAGATTGACATTTTGGGTTTGACATACAGAGAATGGTGACACCATTGGCAGAAATGGATTATTTGGGAGTTTGGCAGAGGAAGTGGACGACTTTAGCTTTGATTTTTTAATTTAATGTGGAATTAAGCTCTATCCCATAAGCAATTGGAATTATAAAAACTGATCTCGATGCAACCATATTTCTAGGCAGCGATTTACATTGGGCCATGCTCATGTCTTGGATGAGTTTGAACAAACTCTTCACAAAGGCATACACATAGAGGAAGGTGAATGGGAAGCTAAAGCCAGCTTCCTGGGATTTTTTTTGGTCAGTGGTCTAAGCACAAGAAAACGAGACGCCACCGTCTGTTGTGGAGAGTAGCTGTGTGGACTTAGAGGTATTTAAATTCTGGCAAGGGAGGTGGAAATGCTGACAATGAGGATGAAGCTTATAGTGGGTCAGACAAGGAGGTGTTTAGTGTGTTGTTTAAAAAGAAGGCTTACAATTAGCCAGGCGTGGTGGTGGGAGCCTGTAGTCCCAGCTACTTGGGAGGCTGAGGCAGGAAAATTGCCTGAACCCGGGAGGCTGAGGTTGCAGTGAGCCGAGATCATGCCACTGCACTCCAGCCCGGGTGACAGAGTGAGACTCTATCTCAAAAAAAAAAAGAAAGAAAAGAAAAAGAAGAAGACTTACTTTCTATTGGGTACTAGAAGAGCTTGGTTGGAGAAGGATAATACTGAACTTGATTTTTTTATTAGCAATAAAGCTTAAAACTAGCTGTTGATGAGCCTTCTCCTTTGCTGGGTCCTCATCTAGAAGGGTATGGTATTTCCTTGTATGATATGATCACTGGCCGGGTGTAGTTTGCTTCATATTTCTGTTTTGACTTTTTCTAACATCTATTTTGGAGTAATTTCAAAACTGCCATCCAGCCAATCAGAACACGTGGCCTTCTTATTTTCCTATGGCCACGTCTCAGGGTATCTGAACTTCCTCTTTCCTTTCCTCATCTTGGTGTTTGGCCCACAGTGTCCCAGTCTTCTCCCTGAGTAAGGTGGCCAGCATTTCTGAATGGAGACATGAGAATATTTACTATAAACATGATCATATTCTGAAACATCTTTATATGAACACTGGCGTCTAAGTAAACTGTTTCTGGCTGAAAGACTTAAGTCTGTTTCTCAGCTAAACTGGGACACAACTAAGAGATTCTACTAATTAGAAAAGTTGGGTTCTAGTTTCTAAGCAATAAACCAAAATACACAGCTGATATTCTGAACAGTTAAATTTACTGTTGCTGGATAGTGGCAGATGGATAGTAGATTGGACATATAAACACACATACGGATGTAGAAAAGATTTCTTTCTTTCTTTTGTAATGCCAGGTAACTGTACTAGATGCTTTCAAGTATTTGTTGTACTTGTTGAATCCTTACAACAGCTTTTGCAGTCATGATGATTTCCTCATTTTATGAGTGAGGAAGCTGAGGCAAGTAAGTTCTTTTTCTTACTTGGGCTCACACAGCTGGGAGTTGGTAGAACCTGACTCCAAAGATGAGTCTTTCAATAAACACATGACCACTTAGGTAATGCAGGCTCAGCCCAGCCTTTCCATCTGTGACCTTGAGGTAGGACAAGCCCCTGATTTGTTAAGGAAAGGCCAAAGTATCTTTAGTTTGGACACTACAGAAAGTTAATACATTTTAGGTTTACTTTCAAGGCAGATCATGAGGAGAGCACTTTTAGGTGTAATGTTAATTCCCAGCAAGTTTCACCACCCATCCCCAGCTTCCCTGATCCCCTGACTGTCTTTCACAAGATTACATTCTAAACAAGAACCTTTTGGAAATTTACTTTCATAGAACTTTCACCATCATTTCAGCATCAGTTCTCTTTTCGCTTTAAAAGAATGAAACACACTCAAGTGTTTCTGACTAGAGGGTTATATCTAATCCATGCTATGTGTTCACTAAATTTACTAGAACAGTTTTTCATGATGTGAAAAGTGAAAATATCGTGAAAATATTTCTAACTTCAAAGCCTTTTAGTCTTATTTTGTCCATTTTCTGAGAAATTATGATTGGTCTTCTGGCATCTGGCATTTTAGAAAGAAATAGTCTGTGCCTTTCCCTTCAGCTGTCTGATAAAGCAGAGAATGTTTAGGTTTTTAGGAATTGGATCTTTTCTAGATCGCCTCCTACTCACACACACTCAGCTCCCAGAGTAGGAAATGTGCTGAGCACATGTCTCCAACTCTCCCACGGATCACAGTTTGCTGCCCAGCAGAAATGGTTGAGTGCTTGCCTCTGACCACTGGGGCTGAGCAGCCAAATCACCGAGAGCCTCCTGATCTCTCATGCATCACGTTGGCCCAGGCAGCACCTTCATGTCATGAGTCTCTGTGCAGTGAGCGTGGTAGGCCCTGTGACTGTGTGTATGTTAGCTCTTCCTCCAAGCTTGATGCCATTTGATCAAATCTTGCATTTTCCTGATTGGATTCTTCCAAAAATGTATTGCTTTCTCTTGAACAGTTAAGTTGCATACATGACATCTCTAAACTGAAAGACTGACCAATTCAATTCATATGCCAAAAACCCATAGTAGTATTAATTGCCATTGGTCTGGTATGCTATGTAGTTCTTCCTATATTTTGTCCTTTAAAAAAAAAATTTATATTATTGTGTGTTGCTAGTTTTAGGGCACAGCTCCTTAGTCTGTAGCAGCATTTATTTGCATTTTTTCCCCAAATGGTTGAGGGGAAAATGTTTGTACTGTGTGGGTCACAATAATGGATTCTGTTTGTGTTTTGTGGTGTTATTTGTAGTAAACATTTGCAAATCAATGAATGTCTTTTGTTTTCTTAATTGTTAGCTGCTTGGAAATTTAGAAAAGTCAGGTAAACTTGTTATCTTGTAAGTATTGTTCAGACCACAGTTGCATCTCTAACTTCCATTCTGCTTCTTAAATGCATGAAGATTCAAATCGGCTGACTGCTTTGTGTGCTCTTCATTATAAAATATTGGACATTTTCCTCTAAATTCAGTTTTTTGTTTTTTTTATGACTGCATGGCCTGGAACCTTATTTTGTTATGTGTTTTTCATGTTTGTTCAGATTATTCACTCTCAAAAGAATGCTTTTCTGTGAATTACATTTTAAGTTATTCAGAAATCTGAAAGGCATCATTTGGCAGCTCATCTGTTTTCACTAAATTGTAAGTTTGTTGGCACAAATCTGTCTCTAATGGAAAGGCTAGATTTGCTTTATTTGCTACACCTGGCATGCCTCTGATTTTTCAAGTCACTTATTTGTGTCTTTTATTTTTCATCCTGTTGCTTAAGTATATATATTTCTGGGAAAAGGAGATTTCTTAAAAACTCATAGTGTTGGTGGAGAGGAGAGTTAAGGAACATACTGTGCAGTAGTATGATTGATTCATGGATAGATGGAGTTGGTGGTATATGTGTGAGCATGAGTATGATGAACAAGAGCCAGACCGTAAAGAATTTTTGGCTAGAAGAAATTGAGCTTATATCCAAGTTTAGAGTCCATTTTTCTTTTTGTCTCCATGAAGTCCGAATGAAAGTGACACCAACTAAGCCACACTTACCCAGTGAGATGAGGCAAGATAGCATTTGCAGATCATTCATCAAAGCTTTTTTTAATCAGACAACCTGTAAATATTAATTACCCATAAATATTACTATGATACTCAGAAATGCCTGTGGTGATAGAATATTCATTTTGTGGATAGTTTTCTGCCTTCTTCTTATTACAATTTAAAATTATTTCAGTCTGTTTCCATTATATTCTAAAATGAATTATTGATTAAAGACATAATATAGAATATAAAAATATTAGATAAAATATAGTTGACCATCAGATTTCAAGATGGAGAAGTCATTCCTAAACTTGAAATAAGTCATTAAAAAATAGTTGATGGATTTGTCTACAGGAAAATTCGATTTCTGATCTTCAAGAAGGTAAAGATAGCCTTTACTTTCTTGAAAGGGGGCAGGGAGACATTTAAAGTATCTTAAATGAGAGATCTGTCTTTACTCTATTAGAAGTTCTTTTACACCAATGAGGAAAAGATGTATTAAATACATCTATAGAGAAGTAGACAAAAACAAAGAAACTTCCACAAAAACCAGTGATTCACAGAGGAACAAATAGAAATGGCAACTAATGTGAAACAATTTCAGCCTCATCAGTATTCACAAAAATATTAATAATACCAAATTTTGGCAAGGGTGGAGGGAAGTGTATATTATCATGTAAATATAAATTATTATGACTTTCTGGAAGAGAATATGATAATAGTAAAAACTTCAGAAATGTGTATACCCTTTGATTCTGCAAGTCCACGTCTAGGAAAACATTCATGGATATACACTAAGAATGGTGCACAAGAACATTTCTCACATTATTCATAGGAACAGCCTACATGTTCCAGGCACCATACCAAGTGTCCATAGAGGCAGCTAACATGTGCCAGGCACAGTGCCAAGGGCTTTTGCATTTATTCTTATCTAATTATCATAACAGTTCTATGAGGTGTAGGTAAATCATTATCAGTGTCCAACAGATTGTGAAACTAAGACTGAGAGAGGTTAAGTAACTTCTCCAGAATCACACAGCAAAGAAGTGGCAGACCTAACTAGCATTGTCTACCCTGGGCAGTTTCTTAAATAATCTGTGATACATCCATAGAAGGAAATAACTATGTGGTCCATAAAAGTCCTCTTAGAAACATTGTTAAAGTGTGTATGTAGAATCACAAATGAATGGCAGTGGTACTGGAAGATCGTTCCTCATAACGTTAATACTGATTATCCCTTTGTGGTAAGATTTGATTTTTTTTTTTCATTGTGGTTTCCTGTGCGTGGATGTATGGTTTTTATTTTTCTAATCAATGTAAGGTACTTTTTTATAATCAGAAAAAAAGAATTCCATAGCTGTTAGTGGATATTTTGATGTCAGTGGCCCCAGAATTCAGGGAATCCCAAAGCCACATGATTTCCAAAAATGTTTATGAAGTAGGGAACATTTGAATAATATGCCATAGATGATGGAATTTTAAAATTATGTTTCATATTATTTTTGCTCAGATTGCATTTTGGCCAGATTTTAATTATTGTACATTTTTCTTTTTTTGCCAATGGGATGTGGGTTCAATTATGTTACAAATAATATTAAAAGGAATATACTGAAGGAAAGTGAAAGTTCCCTTACACTTAAGGCAAGCATTTAAAAAATAGAATATAAACAAAAGTGACTAATGTAGGCTCCCTTTTTGAATCACTGAATCTGTCTCATGATCTTCTCCTTGGGTGAGCTAACCTGCAGGCAATTAATACTTAGTGAAAGTTGACTTGAGCAGAGGTTTGCTCAATAATCTGCAGATCCTATTTTCTTGAGATGGGTTAGATCAATGCCTAACAGCTAAGGAGACACAAAATGGCTGGACAAAGATTCTCAGCTATATTCCATAATTCTCAGATAATCCAAGTCCAACCCCTTGTATTCTGGGAAGGTGCTATTATGTGGTTTAAGGGAGGCTTAAAAATATCAGCTTCCTACATAACTGGTAATAAGTTTTTTAAAGTCTGCTTCCCAGAACTTCTAAATGATACAGATATTTTATCCTGATGACAACTAAGGAACCTGTAAACTCTGCCTCCTGAACCCAAAAGAGAAAGCCAAAATATATATGAATGATGTGTATAATGTCAGTGTTCACTATTATTAATACAAAGTGTCACTGCGATACATCGTTAGGGAGATAGTTTTTTAAAGACATTCAGGTGAGTTCAGGAAAGAGACTGCCAACATCAGTACAGTTCTAAGAACATAGTAGGTATTTAGGTGTTGATTGTACTCATCATTTGGATCTGAGGTTTTTACTTCCCGGAAAAAAAAATAGCTACCACATTTATTTGGCAGCAGCAAAAGGCCAGTTTCTATGATAGGTGCCAAATTATATATGTGGTTTCATTTAATTTAATCATTATTGTTACTTTTGGTTAAAGTAACACATCCAAACCCACAAAACATATGACTGAGCCTAAATTCTAGCCCAGGTCTGTATGATCTCAAAGCATCCACTCCCTCCATCATACCGCATCTCCCTCTGACGTCTATAATGAACTATATCTTTTCAGTTATGGGTTTGAATGCTTAATAATCTTTTCTAAAAACCAAAGGTTTGTGCCATCCCTTCCTGGCTGATTTGGAAAGAGGGCTGTGTTTGTGTGAATGTTTGCTGGGACAGCATGTGCCTTTGTGGGGTGATTAAGGCATCCCTAGCACACTCTGCAACAACATGTGCTCTTCGTTGGCATTGTTTTTCAAAAACCATAGACAATAGAGATCAGGAGGTCACACTGCCTGCTCTGACAATCCAGAGGGCCTAAGAGGCTCTTGTACGCAATTGCGTTCCACCCCTTGACGTCTCAAATGGGTATGAGATTAGAGTGAGAAAGGAAAAAGAAAAATGAAACAATAACACACAGTTGATAGCTCACACATTTCATTGAAGTTTACACTTTATCTTCCTAAATGATTAATGGATCTTGTCCAGAACATTTATTTAGAGCCCTCTGACCCACTTTAATTAGTTAATTTTTTGGACTACATAATACATGCACATGATACAAATTGAAAATGTTCACATGGTATATAGCAGTAGGGCCGCAAAACAGATATCTTACAGGTTGGTGTGGTGGGAGGGCAGTGGACAGCTTCATGACAAGATGCCCACAGTTAAAATGCAGTCCCAGCTCTGTATGCCTTCCAGGAGCTGATTATCCCCTCCGGATGATCATATGAATAATAATATCTGCTTTGCCCCCCTTGGGTCACTCATAAATCCTGTCTTTTCAAAGGTAGGTCAGGACGCTAGCAGGGATCTTCAGCCTCAGCCAGCTGCTGACTTGGAAGCCCTCCTTCAGGGCATGTAGCCGTACCTCTGAACCCCAGCCTCATGCCGAAGCTCCTCCACCTGGGAGCAGGGATGCAGGAAGGGTGCCCCATGGGAACCTAGTCATTCTTTCTCATAAGTAGATCTTTGTCAGGATTGTCTAAATTTATCAGAGACTCTAATAATATTGATCATCAAAGTGATCAGGGTTTTGATTGCTTTCCTTCCATGATATTTCTGGGCATCTAAGTAAAACTGTTGATTCCCTTCCTTAAGGGAGGGAGAATGTGCTCAGCCATATGGGAAATCCAGTTGCACATTTCTTGTAGGACACTATATTGGGGCTATATGTTTATAAAACCTAAGAGAGGCTACTCTGGTGATTCTTACTGGAACAAAAAAGAGTTTTGTTGTCTCCACTGCTGCACATAGAGGCAGGTAACTTTTAAGTAGAGGTCTTTCACAAGTAAGTAAATAAAGTGTCTAAACATACGTAAATGAGAAATTTAGTGGGCAGAGAGGCTATGCATGGTGGGTAGACAGCATGAATACTATACTTGCCAAGTACCCTGAGTGTACATAAACATGTGCAAATCAAGCAGTAACTCAGGTAAATGATCTTAGGGTTCTTCATGTGGTATTTTATGCTCTCAGAGGGTTAGACCATAATTATGAAATAAAGGCAGAGAGCATTTTATTATATGGACCAAAGGGTTCTGTGAAGGCTCTGTGGAGGAACAGAGGATGTTTAGCTAATTTTGGATCATTGGTAACATTTAAAAAGGCATTTCTATAAAAAACAGTGGGATCAAAAATACAAAAATGTATTTAGGGTATAATGAGTAGACCATTTTTGCTGGAATGAGAAATATGTGAATGCGGGGACTAAAGGGGGCAAAATCTAAAAGCCTTTCTACATATCTGGGTGCTTTCCACATGACCGGAGACAATTTTTTTTTTTTTTTTAAGACGGAGTCTCGCTCTGGCCCAGGCTGGAGTGCAGTGGCCGGATCTCAGCTCACTGCAAGCTCCGCCTCCCGGGTTTACGCCATTCTCCTGCCTCAGCAGAGTAGCTGGGACTACAGGCGCCCGCCACCTCGCCCGGCTAGTTTTTTTTTTTTTTTTAGTAGAGACGGGGTTTCACCGTGTTAGCCAGGATGATCTCAATCTCCTGACCTTGTGATCCGCCCGTCTCGGCCTCCCAAAGTGCTGGGATTACAGGCTTGAGCCACCGCGCCCGGCCTGACAAATGTTAGCCTACATTTACTTATATATTTATTTTTCTTTTATATACATTATGGTTAAATATTGTGGTTCAATACATTATTTTGAAATCTTTATATTTTTAAGGGAGGGAATAAAAAGATTATGTATGAAGGTAATTATGTAGCCATTCACAAATCTGCGTTCCGCTTTTGAGGATATTATATACATATATTAAACACATGTATAAATAGAAAAGGGCAGAAGATATATTCAGATAGCATTAACCATTCAAGTCTTGTGCTTTTTCTCAAGTGGGAGCCTCTGGAGTAGTATTTTTCCATGTGTTGGAGAGACATCAATAGGTTCCTTCATGAGCCTTTCCTAGCAGTTGCCCTTAGTCAGGAGAGTGAGTACAAGAAGAATGTAGTACTTTATGGAGTCCTGCAGAATGTTGTGTCTGGGATCGAGCTATTTTTCCGCCCTCTTGATTCAGTTTTCCTGACTGTAAAAACCACCACCAATTTGTTAAAGAGAATCATTGGATTTGTGTGTGTCTTTATGTTCCTTTTTGAAGACCAGACTCATACAAAACTCAGTTACCTTTAAATTGCTTACTTTTAAAAAATGGTAATCAAATTTGGTGTGGATGGAGGTGTTGATATGTGTGCCTTTACGAGCAGGCCACGGCTAAAGAAATGGATGTATAGATTTACTCCGTTCACTTTTTGTGAAGATACTGCTGATTTTACATCCATCAAAAAAAAAGTGAATTTACCACATTAATTTGTGAATGACTAAAAGCTATTAAAAGATGTATGGTGGAAATTAATGTACTGTATAATCTGTAAGATACCCCTTTTTTTTGGAAAAAAAAACATGGAGAGTGCTGAAGTTAATATAATGGGCAAGTCTTGAATTGTGTGTTTATCAGGATCACCTTTGGCCTAACTTTTGAAACTACAATTGTTAAACTTGCATATTACCACATAGTATTTTTCTGGATTGTATAGTTTGGTTAACATATTTAACAGATGCAGTTGGGTTAGATATCAGCAGTGGAAAATGATTTCTTCTTTAGAATAAAATTTTTAAAGTGTATCATTGATTTTCTTGATTTAATTTAGAACATGTACATCTAACGTTTCACAGAGATTTTTATGAACATATAGGGCTGTGTTTTGTATGATTTAAATTAATGATTATTGGTCATCAGTGAGACCAGTGAGTTATGTGGTATAAGTTTATGCATCCTTTTTATACTGTTTGGTAAACAAGGTACTCTGATCCTACTCCATCTCCCCTAGAAAACTAGAAAAAAAGATGTATTTCCTTTCTCACCATAGATCGGCGGGTGCTGCAGCCTCACTGTGTTCTGTGTGCGTGACAATAGACTAACTCGGATACCTGCAGAGATGTCACAGGCAACAGAACTTCATGTGCTGGATGTGGCAGGGAACAGGTAAGCCTGTTGTATGCTTTGCTTGAGGGAAACAAATATGCATACATCCCAATCTTTGCGTGCATCTTCAAATTTTTGTCTTTGCTTTATCTTACAGAATATGATCCCAATTTTTCAAATGACCTAGGCCTCAGGGAATTCTTCATATGGGGGCTAGAGTGCTTGAGCCCAATGGAGCAGAGAAAGGGGAAACCTGAGCATGGGTTAAAGTGTCAGTGGACACTTTTGTAGAAATGCTTCCCGGAATGATGGTACAATGATGCCAGGGAAAGAGCACTGAACTAAGAATGGGGAGACTTGGGTTGTGGCTTAGCTCTTCTAAGTAGCTTTTGTAAGTCATCATGGGCTTCAGAGTTTCCTCACCTGGAAAGTGAGCACAAATGAGTTCGAACTCAGTTTTAACCAGGGGACCTTGACATACTGACTCTGAACCCCCTGAAAATACAAACAAAATTGTGTATTTAGGGAAGTGTTTATATCTAATGTCAGAATCTCCAAATGATTCATAATACAAAAAAAGTTCAGAGCTGCCAGACTAGTATCCCCAAGGTCACAGCGTCACCATTTCTCAAGTTCCGGAGCAGAGGTCATGTTGGACTGAGCGCCATTTTCTAGAATATGCCTGTTCATCATCTTTGTGGAACACATTTGTTTCCGTCATTCCGAGCTAATTTCAGCGCCCTAAATGTCATATGTGCCTTCTCTGTGAACAGAAACAGGCTATTCTTTCTATTGGGGACCCTCTTCTCTGGCTCCTTGACTCTCTTCTTCATCACTCAAGCTTTATTTTCTTGAGGGAGCCTCCTTTCTGAGTTCGCATCTGGGAAAATTCCCCTGCCATGGCAGTCACAGTACCATGTGAGAATTGCCAGTTTTCATATGGGTAACCCTTCTAAGCCTGAAGTTACCTAAAGTTAGATGTTCTTCTGGTTTATGTGTCATTGTATCACTTGTCAGATGCAATGACGGAGTGCCTGGCACATAACAGATGCCATTTTCAGTGGAACAAAAATGTTAATAGTTTTACAGGATGAATAGCAGGTCACTGCAGGATGGCTTATATCATAGGCTTCCTTGCCAAAAGGAATTAAAAATTGCTTTTGAGTGTAATATAGTTAGGAGAAAAAGGTTCAACTGCTTGGGGGAAGATGATCAATGATCTTAAATGGTAAAGGCCAGCAGTCTAAAGAGTGTTTGGGAGACTGTCTCCTGAGTGCTGATTAGCTGATCATTTTGGTCAGGCACAGGTCACCATTTTTTATTCTTGCTAATGGATTATAGACAGCAGGGCTAAATAAACAGCAGTTCTCAGCTGGAATCTAGAGGTGAGTTATAGCCTCAGGCAATGCTCACCTTTTCAAAGTTAATGCTTTCAGGACATCTTGATAGATTCTTAAGACCACTAACTGGTTGCCGGAAACCCAGGATTAAATTGAGTTGAACCTCGGATTTCTGCTGAACTAAGCAGAACTAAGGCATGAGCCTTTACAGCTTGAGGAGGGTACTTCTTTCCTGATCTTTATCCTCTAGCAGTAGAAACTCAATGAGTCAACATTTGCTGGTTCTTGCCACACTACTGAGCATGAATTTGCATCAATTCTTGAGCAGAAAGATGCCTGTGATGGCGAAAAACTGTTTTTACATGAATGAAGGCCCCATTTCTCCAGTTCTCAGAAAAAGAGAAAGTTAAATTTTTATTATGCTTGGGCTGGGATGGAGAAAACCCAGTTAAAAAGTCGAGTTACACAGTTGTCATTTGAGTCAGTTAAGTGTGTCATTTAGTCCATGCATACGTATGTAGATTCATAATCAAATTTTAAGCCTATTAAAATATTTAATCACTGCTTATTAAAAGTATCAGTATAGAAACTAATTTTTTTAAAAAGGGCTACCTGGTCAGCCTTTTAGCTTGCAGAAATGTCATACCATAGGATATCATACTAAATTATATTAAATGTAACAGAAGCTTCTGCCTCTTCTTTCAAGTATATGAAAATAACACATGGCGGCAGGAAACGTACACTGTGAGTTTCTAGAAACTTTCTTTTGCAGTTTGGTAGGATAAATTATAGCAAGGATGACTATAACCTGTCACTTGGAAACTAAGTATTAAACCTTCTGTGACAGTAAAGAAAATGTCTTATATCATCAGTTACCCGAGCACAGAACACAAAATTCTTTAATACTTAGACTCTCTCCCATAGGAATATCCATCAAGTGTGCAAAACTCAGCATTTGAGGATTTTCCTTACTTGCAATATTAGTAGTACTGAATATTAGAAACAATGGTTGTCAATTGGAAAATAGGAAATACTTACACTTTTTAATTTTATGCTATGTATGTATTACCCAGTCCAAAGAATTAAAAATATTAAAAGACAAACAACAGCATACTGTTGTGGAATACTAAGCAGTCAAAGAATGAGATATTTCTCTGTGCAGTGACACAGAGAGAGACCCAAGATACTGAGTGAAAAGGGAAAATGTTGAGCAGTTTATAGGGCTCTCATTTTGGTGGGGTTTTTTCCTTAAAAAAGAAAAAAAAAATCACTTATTTGTGCATTGTACCCAAATACTAATAGTAGTTCCCCTAGATGAGACTTGAAGGTATAGGGAGTTTTCATTTTAGATATTTTAGTATTGTTTAATTTTTTGCCAGTTATGTTCTCAATTTATATATATTTTTAAACATTTTTGAAAAGTTTGCTTAAAACTAAAAATTCTGGTAGAAAGTAACAGAAAGATGAAACATTACATTGTAAGGCGTATTCAGTCACTGGTGAAGTTAATATTAATCAGTAGGCCATGCTTAGATATTAAATAAATTTGAGAAGGCAGTTGCTATAGTAGTTCACAGGCATGGAAGGTCACTTGGGGCTGGGTTGGTCATGGATATAACTGGAGACAAGAGGCTTACAGTTTGGTCATTCATTTGCTTTAGTTCTTGTACCATTGGTGTGAATAGTAACCACAAATTTTTTATTTCTGGGCGCATGTGGTCCTAAATAGAACACAGAGATGCCTACGGGCTGTGGTTTCTTGTGTGTTGATTCTGTTTATTCTATAGTGTACAGAAGGTACCAGAATAAACCAAAAATTATTAGCTCCTTTGGAAAGCAGGAATGTATTTCTCATCGATTTTCTGACTTGTAGCTGGGATGGTTTACCCGAGAGAGACAGAAAAGCATGTGTATGTCTTTTTTTCCCCAGGCTATAGTGAGTTAGAGGATTAGCCAGCCGGCAGAATCTCAGTGGACAGACTGTTCAGGGAACAGGGTGTTTTTTTCTTTTGGACACCACTGGCAACACTTCTGTCCGCAAGACAGTGGGCAGCTCATGTGTGGTGTGGACTCAGTCAGCAGCAGCCACATTCAAGCTGGCACTTTGATTCTTTGCAGCAAAACTGGTATTTCAGGCAACTCATTAATCTGAGTTGAAATATGTTGATAAGATTTGTTGTTGTAGAGTCTAGTAATTTATTTAGCTTTTGTCATATGGTTTGTCATCCTTAGAAGTTGTTATTTATTAGTATTATCGATGCTCTTTTTAGCCTCTTATTTATACTTTTGCTTTAACATTCAGCTGGCTTCTAGTCTGAGAAGTTACAATGACCACGTTTGAGTATCTGTGTTTTGTGCCAGTTTTCAAGTCTTGATTTTTTTTCTTTCTGTTCTCATGAGTAAGACAGGTACAGATGCTGACTGTAAGTGTCTTTCCCAAGACTTGAAACTTTAAACATTCTAGTGGATGTTAGCTTGCTTCCTCTTTTAAAAGATAGAGGAGAAAAATTTTAAATAAATTATATTTTTGTTCAATAAAATGAAAGAGTTTGATGTACTTGAAACTTTAACAGTGTATAATGCCTATTTAAAAAATCCTTGTCACAGTACCTGGCAAATACATGTTTTTAACTTTCTTGCATTTGAGTTTACATGTATGTAACGTTCTTTGGATAGAAAGAGAAAGAATTTTTGTATAAGCAGAAGATATTTCAGTTCTATCCCTTAAAGAACAAATATCTCAGAGTAAGAAGAAATGTAATTGTGATTCTGCTGTTCCCTGTGGTTCCCTCAGGTGTCCTTCTCTAACTGTGAGCATATGGTGGCACCGGGTGGATTCTAGGATTTGAAAATATGTATTTCTCACCTCATACTGCTCTCATTAGTGAAATATTATAATGTACAATTCATAGTCTTTTCAAGAGTACTTTAACATAAGCAGTTCTCGTGGATACACTGGCTTAAGAACCTCACTCCCACTTAAGTTACAGTTTCACAGTACTTCCTCAGTATTGCATGCAATACATATGCATGAGATGGACTCAGCCTTTACTGGACTAATTGTTAAGGAAAAGAAAATATTTTCTCATCTTTGAAACTAACACAGAAATCTTGCAAAATGTATTGTTACTGTGAAAAGTTTGTTAATGATGCTTTTGTTGTTAATACTGTCCGTGCACTCTTTGGTTTTTTTTTACTTCTTTTATTAAAGTAATTTAACCAGTTTATGCCTACCTTTTCCTCTGATTAGTTTTGTGTTATTGGAATACAGCTTCTTTTCATATCTTTAGAGAGTTCTAGTTTATTTCCCATAAGTTCTGTCAATTGAAATGGTATGTGCGTCTGAGAATTCACTGTTAGTCTTTTGGTAAGATGTATAGGTAGATTTCCTGCTAATGTTAACTGGAAATAGGTGTACATATGATTTCTGGCAGTGGTCTTTACTAAATAGATTCTACGGGTTGCAACCAATCTGTGAAGTCTTTGTGCAAACATAAAAATAAAACTAATCTTTAGGTGTCACATTATAACATTTAAAGTACTTTCATACGTACTACCTCATTTGAAACTGAAATAATCTGATATAGATTTTAATTGTCACCTAGGACTCTGAGAAGTAAGAGCTTCTAGAAACTGAGAGATAAAGGTTTAGAAGGGAATACCTGAAATAATCTCCCTAGAGAAACTAGATGGAGTCCATACAAAATGGGGTTTAATCTTTATTTTGGCTGCAACTTAAATGCTTTGACACCCCAGGCACCTCCTTCCTCTTGGCCTGATTCATCAGGTGCTCCTGGAAACAGGTAATCCCGCAGCTTCAAAACCAGCCCTGTCAGTGAGGCTGTCGCCATCAGAGGTAAAGAACCTCCTCTGGGTCCTTCCAAAATCACCTTGACTTTTTTTCTCTCTTTACATTGAAACCCAGTACAAGACCCTAAAAATGTGTCCTACAATTTTCTCTTTTTTTTTTTGCCCTGTAATCTGGAGGTTCTCATGGGAGAAGTGAGAGCAGAAAAGGGAAGCACAGGAACCTACTGAAGAATCCACTTGCAAAGAGTATGTCAAGTGTCTTAAAAACATAACATCGTTTTTACATTTTGAAACCAATCTCAGGAAGCTGTTTTTAATTTTTCCTCATTTTATGGATAGGGATTGATTTGATTATAAAATTTGAGGTTGTAATGTCTCTTTTTTTTTTAAAAAAAAAAAAAAACAGGTTGCTGCATCTACCTTTATCCCTGACTGCCTTGAAGTTGAAGGCTCTGTGGCTATCTGACAACCAGTCGCAGCCCCTGCTTACATTCCAGACAGACACAGACTACACCACGGGAGAGAAGATTTTAACCTGTGTCTTACTTCCTCAGCTGCCTTCTGAACCTACTTGTCAAGGTGAATTTAATTTAAGGACAGTATTCACAGGGCCACGAGATTGAGTAGGAGCTAATGTCTGTCCATAAGGCCTCTTACTCCTTCATGTGATTGTGTTATATCCAGTCTGCACCTAGAGCCGGCTCGGGCGAGGCCACTGTGGGACTCTTCCGGAAAGGTTACCCTACATCCTTGCAGAAGGGCCGCTCATATCTATTTATCATGTTTGAAATTCCATAAGCAGTTTTTTGGTTTTGAATTATAGCTAAGGCTGAAAATACAATACTTCTAAAAGTGGTAACAGAGTCTCTTAAAATCCAAACTGATAGTTCAGAGGATTAGTACTAACACCACTGGCATACTATTTTTAAGCCATTGAATTATTTTGAGTCATTGTATCTTTGTTTTGTAAACTGCGTGGTTAAAAAAAAATTCACATTAACATCAAAATGCTATCATAAACCCTTTGCTGAGAGCTGGGCTTGGTGGAGGGGAACCGGAGTGCCCTGGGGGAATGGGAGCCCAAGTGGGAGGACTTTAAGACCCTAGGGGAAAAAGTGGTAGAGTGTGTTACTGAGGAAAGTACTGGTGTCCAACCTGTGCGGCCACATCACTGTCAGGACAGTTTTGAAGTTGCATAAAATAAGTATTTTAAAAGGGACTCTAAATTATGACATTCTGTGATGAAATATTAAACATATTAATTTAGCAGATATTTTATATGATCTCAAATAGAGTTATACATCATTAAAAAAGAAGGGGCAACCTTGCCCCAGGCCTTTTTCTTTTTGTTTTTGAATTTTGTGTGTGTTTGTGTTTTAAAGCCAAACTTGCCACAGAACACCACCCTTATTTCTGGTGTTCTACCCCTGGTCCTCCGTATAGATTCTGCCTTGTCAGCTGCAAAGTTCATGGCTTTTACCGGTCACATGAACCACAGTTCCCTGCTGATGTGGTCTTTGTCACTGCAGAGAATCTGCCTCGCTGTGGTGCGCTGGAGAACTTGGTAAATGATGTCTCTGATGAAGCCTGGAACGAGCGTGCTGTCAACAGAGTCAGTGCAATCCGATTTGTGGAGGATGAGAAAGATGAAGAAGACAATGAGACGGTATGGAAATGCAGATTCTTTGCCTCTGTGGAAGTTCAAAATTAAAAGATTGAGAATGGCACCTAATTAGGATATTCTTTATTTTCAATTAGTATGTTCTCTGCCTTGCCTTGCCTTCAGCATTTAAGAATTTTTTTAGAAGACAAAACTAGGTAATTCTAGGTACTCAGTCACAAAAGGTAAATGAGGCAAATGGAACTCATTTTTTTTTTTTCTTTTTTGAGACAGAGTCTCCCTCTGTCACCCAGGCTGGAGTGCAGTGGAGTGATCTCAGCTTACTGCAACTTCCACCTGTTGGGTTCAAGCCATCCCCCGACCTCAGCCTCTCAAGTAACCTCTGCCTCCCGGGTTCAAGCGATTCTCCTGCCTCAGCCTCCTTAGTAGCTGGGATTACAGGCACCTGCCACCACACCCAGCTAATTTTTTGTATTTTTAGTAGAGACAGGATGTCACCATGTTGGTCAGACTGGTCTTGAACTCCTGACCTCAAGTGATCCACCCATGTTGGCCTCCCAAAGTGCTGGGATTACAGGCACCTGCCACCATGCCCCTCTAATTTTTGTATTTTTTGTAGAGATGGCATTTTACCATGTTGTCCAGGCTGGTCTACAGTTCCTGGACTCAAGTGACCTCCCCACTTAGCCTCCCAAAGTGCTGGGACTACAGGCGTGAGCCACTGTGCCCGGCCTCTTATTGTTGTGTTGTGCTGCTTTTATGGTGCTTCTTTTTATTTGTGATAGTTTTCCCTCCCACTGAAACTTTTTTTTTAAAATTGTTCCCAGTGAATGCTGTCTCTTCCCATGTTGACTCCATTTGCTTGCCATGATTTGACTTAGTGCCAGACCTCTGTGCCTTCTTCATGTAACCAGCTCACCTTAGTCTTCTTGTAGAGGGCTTAGGATCTTAGTTGGATTAGTTAACAAGTTTTTGTTCAGAAATTGGAAAATACCAGTCACCCTTACTTTCATCTGTACTTGAAAATGTCTCTCAGACATCCAGCATCTCTAGGTGTTGGTGACAAGGCTTGACATCTTCCTAGCAGTTGACTTTGGTTTCTTAAATTCCTTAAACTAATTGAGATTTTTCTTAAGCAGAACTTAGAGGGAGTACTTGCAGCCCCCCAAACAAAGGCAGTTTTTAAATTTTTGCCTACAGTCTTTGTTATTCCAGTTGTCACCAAATGGGATTTTAGGCCTATACAATCGTAAAGGGCAAAAGGCAAATTAGGGATGATAAAATTACTCACTGTCAATGACTCTTTAATACTCACCTCAAGACTTGTTAGAGTGTGATTATCACCAGTTACTTCATTGCCTCTTCCAGTATTTTGTTAAGCTAGTTTGGTTCCCCCTAAAGCGCTTGGATAGGCCGTTTAAAAGATGTACACGCTGTTTTATGAGCTAAAGATCATGTAACATATTAAATAATATTTAAAAAATTACTCATACCCTGTTACTTAACTTCCAGTCTTTATTAGAAGAGTGTGAACTTTCATCAGTAGGTCATAGAAATAGTACACACAGCAGCAAAATAAGAAAAGGAAATATTTCCCTCTTGATTTCCTTTTTCTTGCATGCCTCAAGGGTTGAAAAAAGCCAGAATCGCTTTGGGTAATAGTAGAACATTATAGTGACTTTAATTTAGGATTTTTTATTTACTCTTTTATCTTTTTCTTTCCCTACACCCTATAATTATATCCTAAATTTTAAAATAACTGTTCTTGCTGCTTATGGAGATTTTTATTTTATAGTAATTTCATATATTTATAAGTATTCTTTTATTCTAAAAGTAATCCTTCTATTGTAACGAGGTAAGTTATATGGAACACTTTCCCTTTCCCTTAACTACCAGTGAGCAGTTGATAAATGCACATACCTCCAAAGAAAGCTTTTCCACCCGCTTTAACTCAGAATTTCTAAGAAGGTAACATTTGTATTGGAATGCAAATGCCTTGAAGCTGCATGTTTTGAAAAAGTAGTGGAATAAAACCAAAACACTCACTCCACTGTTTGTTTTTAGAGAACACTTCTAAGGCGAGCCACTCCACACCCAGGGGAGTTAAAGCACATGAAAAAGACAGTGGAGAATTTACGGAATGACATGAATGCTGCTAAAGGACTGGACTCAAACAAAAACGAGGTCAATCATGCCATTGACCGAGTGACCACTTCTGTGTAGAGTTTCACCTCCGAGTTTTACCTCCTGTGTCTTCCTCTGCTGTCCAGACGTTCCTGTCTGCTTCCGGGGAGCCTCACGTGCTCCTTGTCTTAGCTAACCAGCCCCCGTGCGCCATCCTCCCGTGGAGTGTGGGGAAGCTGCTGTCTCCCAGGAAGTGCCTTACTCGTCCCGCAACCAGTCAGCCACCAGTGGTCTCCCGGCGTGATTTTTTTTTTTTTTTAATTTCAGTTGTTTGTAATAAGTAGAATACACTACTGTAAACATACGACTTTTGTTTTTGTCTTATGTTGGGATAAGGGAGAGCAGAAAGGGGAATTTTTATCCTACTCCCTTCCATAAAGTGCTGGGACATTTTGAATCCCCCAGGTTCCCTTGGACCTACTGATGAGAGATAGTTTTATGTATGGGGAAAAATGGATACTTTTTAAACCTTTTTTGGCAGCTCAGATGGTGTAAATTTTAAAATTTTGTATAGGTATTTCGTAACAAAAATATGTATTTCTTTTTTGTTATTTTATCTTGAAGACGGTACATATTTTAGTATTTGTGCAGAGAAACAAGTCCTAAAGTATTTGTTTTTATTTGTACCATCCACTTGTGCCTTACTGTATCCTGTGTCATGTCCAATCAGTTGTAAACAATGGCGTCTCTGAACAGTGAGATGAGAATAGGAATGTGGTATTTTAAAGCAGTGTTGTATTTTAATCAGTAATCTACCTGGCAGATTTGTTTTTAACCAAAAAGATGAATTATCAATGATTTGTAATTGTATCGGTTGATTTTTTTTTTTGAAAAGATGAACCAAAGGATTTGACTGCTAATATTTTATTCCTTACACTTTAACTTTTTCTGAATAAGTCTCTCATAATGAGCGCAGTGTCAGACTGCACCTACTCTGATGGTATGTGCCATTTGTAAAATAAAATAGATCAGAAAAGCACAAAAAGAGAAAACTGGTTCAGACATTCAGTGGGCAAATAAATTATGTACTGCAAAAGAATGATTTTTATTCAAGAAAGCTTTAAAAGTTTTATATCCAGATATACAACCACAATAAAGCAAAATAACCTATCAAAATAGAAATGTTGCTATCTTTATAAGTGCAATTTAATTTGTAAATAGAGTTTGAATCAAAGTATCAGAAAATACTGCTTCAAGATTTAATTTTAAATCTGCGAATTTAAGGGATATTGGGAAAAGTTTTGGTGTGTTTCTGTTGACTTCTTTTTTGTATGCTGTGATAAAAGAGAAATGAAAAGTGCCAGTCACTGTGTGGTGTCTAGGAAAATCATATATATTTTTTTTCTCCAAGAAATAAATTCTTCCTGGACATTGGCCATACAGCTTTTAAAAATTATTACTTTGTATGTTCAAGTGATAGCAGGTAGCCAAATTTTTTGGCAGTGTGCTCTGGTCTATTACATATTTAAATTACCCATCAGTTGTGAGTGACCTCCTGTGGGACTTGCATTCACACAGGGCGGAGCCCAGAATTGCCTTTGACTCTGGCTAGTAATTTTGGGTTGTGGCAGTCTGGCCAAGTGGACCCCTTAGAAACCCGTCTTCAACCAACCAAATACAATACTTTCTTTTACTTCTATGTATTTACTTATTGGGTTCACTTAGCTTTTTTGGCTGTGTGTATGTAAATATGTGTGTATTTTAAAAACTATTTATGGAGCTGAAAGTACATAACATATAAGTGAGTTTCGGCTGGTCAGTTTTATACCTTGCTCCCTAATCTGTGCATAGCAATTTTCTTTTCTCTATTTTAAGGTTTTTTGACATCCTCTATTTTGTTTTAAGCTTATAAAGATGATGCCACTAACTCATGGACTGATTATATATAAGCAAATTGTTTTATTTAATGGGAATTGTCTTGACGTGGAAGAACAAGTAGAACTTGCATGGCGTGTTTTGTTTTTTTTATATAAAGCCCATCCTTTACTACTCAGTTCATCATGGCTTTTCTGGACTGGAGGTGGACAGAATGGCATGTGTGTGCTTACATTTTCCTAGGAAATGTCACGCACCTAGTTTATTTCCTTTGGCCTGTCTCCTTTAGTTCATTTTCACTTGGTTTGCTTTTTGTTTTCATTTTGGGGGATTTTGTTTGTTTCCCCTCTTCCTTTGAGAGGAAAATGTCACTTTCATCTTAATCTTTTATGCTGGGGACCCTGCAGTGCTCTTGAACTTCAGGGTTCTGGAACCAAACTGAAGCTTCACAGTGGAAACAGCATCAACCAGACAGTTCTGCCCTGAGAACATGCCAAGCCGTTTCCAAGAAGGCCCCTCTCATAGTTAGAAGAAAAACTTGATTATGTGAAAGGATACCTTTCTCTGTCAGTGCCCTTCCCCCCTCCCCATCCAGCCCTTCCTTTAGGAAAGGGAGGAGTACAGTATATGGCTGGCTGTTTGTCTTGTGGGAGTGACAGGTGAAAGCAGGAAAGGAGGTTAGTATGACCTGTTCACCCACTTTTATTTTTTTTTTCCCATAGATAGTTATTTCTTCTTTTTAGCAAGAAAATAATGCCTCAGTGGGTAAAAGAGCCAACCAAAAAAAAAAAAAAAGAGAGAGAGGAAGTGGAAATAAAGTCATTGATAATGAAAAGAGGGATTGGTAAGAAATCATAAAATGTTTGCCTGGATATTGTCTTTTTTCTGGAGAGTTTGGAGGAATGGTCCTGAGTGACCCAATCTTTCTGTCTGAAAACATACTAGCTGGCTGTCAATGAGGTGAGCAGGCAAGGTGGGATCACTCACACCAGCCTCTCACAGCAGCACTTCTGCCATCTCTGTGAAATCTACCACACCCAACAAGACATGCTTAGTGAATGGGGTGAAGGCTGGGAAAATTCTGTGTCTGAGAGTTACTCTGAACAGCCAGTCCTGCTCTGGTGAAAATGACTGACGCTTGGTTGGCCACAGTGGCTCACAGCTGTAATGCCAGCACTTTGGGAGTCTGAGGCGGGCGGATCACAAGGTCAGGAGTTCGAGACCAGCCTGGCCAACATGGTGAAAAGCTGTCTGTACTAAAAATGCAAAAAATTAGCCTGGCCTGGTGGTGCGCACCTGTAATCTGAGCTACTCAGGAGGCTGAGGCAGGAGAATTGCTTGAACTTGGGAGGCAGAAGTTGCAGTGAGCCCAGAGTGTGCCACTGCACTCCACCCTGGGCGACAGAGCAAGACTGTCTTAGAGAAAAAAAGAAAGAAAATGAGTAATGCTGTGCTCTGGGCATGCTGCTAGTGTGTGGCAGGGCTGCAGCAGCACTCTCCAGGGACTGCATTGCAGCTGCTTATTAATAGAAGGCGATTAGGGACATTGCCACTCAGTGACATCCATGGAGAGTTGAAATCTCACTTCACCATTATTGTTGTCTTACCTCATCCAATTTTCCAAAGAGCCAATTAAACGTAACTTTATTATGGAAAATTCAAAACATACAAAAGTAGAATAATCATTGACCCTCCTATAGCTATCACTTAACTTCAATAATTAGAAACACAAGACTAAGGTATTTATAAGGAACCAAATGTGTTATGCATGTATTTAAAATATATATATTATGTTTTAAAATACATCTATAAGAAAGTGCACAATGAAGCATTTTTTAAAAGCTCTAGAAAAGCAAGCAAATGTGTTTTTTAAAACTGCTTTGGATTTACAATTTTTGAGTCAACATGCCAGTGGAATCATGCATATGGATATAGGTCTGAATCCCAGCGTGCCACGTAGGTTTGGACAAACTGTTTAACCTCTCTGGGCCTCAGGTCCTTCATCTCTAAAATGGGGCAGTAATACTCCTTTCAGGCTTAGAGTGAGGATTAAGCGGGATACATAAAACATACGCTCTCAGGAAGTGGGTGGCTGCTGTTATTACAGGTCTTGCTGTTTTTGTTGTTATAGTAGTGTTATTAGCAGCTCTGCAATTCCTGCCACCAAGCCAACAGTGTGTCATCAGATGGGTAGTGTTCTCAGGAATGAGGACACACACTAGTTCTGATGGAGAAAACTTTATTTGAAAACTGTTTCGCCTGTGGTTTTATATATAGACTCCTGCATTATGTAATGGATGGTGGAGATATTAATTTGTCCTGTGTGCTTACTTAATGGTAGGTCTAGCAATGGTCTCATGGTAACCACCTCATTTTAACCAGACTTACTAAGTAGCTGTCCTTAAGGTAAAACTAGATCCTGCCAAGAAACCATGAGACAGCTAGTTGAGGATAGGGTCTCCTTTTCCAGAAAATGTCCCCCTCTTTGTCATAACCTCGGTTTTCTAGGTTCAGGTCTCTGGTGCTCATTTTGCCTTGTCTCTCTGTTTCACCATGGATTTTCATAACATCTCCTTTTTTACCTCTTGCTTTGTTCTGTTTCCTTTCTCTCAATGGCGGCTTTCATATATCAGGAGGGACGAGTCAATTTAAGACATGGATCATCCACGGAGAAAAACCTGCTGGAACAAATAAATTAGTGCAGCCTGACGTGGGGCATGTAGAGAACACTCCCATCTTATTGGAGTGGTTTCCTTTTTTAAAAAGCAGACAGCTGGTGGGAAAAGGAAACCAGAAGAACCTGATCTGTTACTTGTATTCAGTGGGCTGTGTGGAAGATTGGAGATGAGGTTTTGTGTCTAGCAGTTGGCCTGGCAGTTGGCCAGAAGGATAGTGTAACTTTAAACTCCGAGAGTGGGTAGCCATTGTGACAAGCATGGATTTTAGCCAAGGGCTCTTGAGTTCTGACTGGACAAGAACCTGACTGGGTCAATCCTCCAAGTTTCTTTTTTTTTTTCTTTCTTTCTTTTGAGACAGAGTCTTGCTCTGTCACCCAGGCTGGAGTGCAGTGCAATCTCAGCTCACTGCAACCTCCGCCTCCCAGGTTCAAATGATTCTCCTGCCTCAGCCTCCCGAGTAGCTGGAATTACAGGTGCACGCCACCATGCCTGGCTAATTTTTGTATTTTTAGTAGACACAGGATTTCTCCATGTTGCCCAGGCTGGTCTCAAACCCCTGGCCTCAAGTGATCCACCCGCCTTAGCCTCCTAAAGTGCTGGGATTACAGGCGTGAGCCACTGTGCCCGGCCCCAAGTTTCTTTTGCAGCATCAACAATTAACTTCTAAACAAAAAAAAGAGCTGCCCTTTTTTACAGTAAGATACTACTATGAACTACAGCAGCCATTCACTGAGTACTTAACCATGTGCCCTACACTGACCTAGCTGAACCCAGCCTCAGCTTTCCAGTATACCACCATGAGGTAGATGGTACCATTTCCTTTGTGCAAAGCAGATAATTAAGACTCAAATAATTTTAGGAATTTGCCCAAGATCAAACAGTAAGGGACAAAATCGGAATTCAAATTCACATCTCCACTGACATTTCAATCACCCCTTTATTTTACTTTGTTCCCCACTCCCAGCCAAAGCACTATAACCTGTAATTGCATTTAAATTTGTATTTATCATAATGGTGATGGTTCCGTTTTTTGTCAACATTACGTAGACCTAATTTATAGACAAAGACTGGCATGGAACTGAGTGAAATTTAATGAAATTGATGCAGAATTGGGACTTCATTTGTGTCTAGTGGTTGCAAACACTGTGATTCTGCATTCTCTAACCCAGGGGTCCCCAACCTGTACCCCAGGGCCAGGTACCAGTTCTTGGCCTGTTAGGAACTGGGCCGCACAGCAGGAGGTGAGCAGTGGGCCAGCAAGCATTACCGCTTGAGCTCCGCCTCCTGGCAGATCAGCAGCAGCATTAAATTCTAATAGGAGCACAAACCCTATTGTGAACTGCACATGCAAGAGATCTAGGTTGCATGCTTGTTATGAAAATCTAATGCCTGATGATCTATCACTGTCTCCCATCACCCCCAGATGAGGCCATCGAGTTGCAGAAAAACAAGCTCAGGGCTCCCACTGATTCTACGTTATGATGAGTTGTATAATTTTTATTATATATAATATATATAATTAATATATATTAATATTATATATTATAATGTAATAACAATAGAAATAAAGTGCATGGTAAGTGTCATGGACTTAAATCATCCTGATGCCATCCCCCCTCACTGGTCTGTGGAAAAATTATCTTCCATGAAACTGGTCCCTGGTGCCAAAAAAATTTGGAACCACTGCTCTAACCCTCCCACCACCTTCACTCACTTCCTGTATGTTGTCCTGGGCTGGCTAAGTGCTATGGAAATGTTCATGGGGGTCTTTGTTCTGCCATCTCAAACTGTGCAAATTCTAAGAAACTTGGAAGATAAAGTATTTGGCTAGTGGGAAAAAAAATTGATAATGTTTTCAACATTAACTGGAGTGACAGTTTGGTAATCAGCTCTCTGAGAAAGCTTCAGCATATTCCGAAAATTGGCAGTTATCTCCAGAGTGAGCTAATTAGTTAGGAATGACTTTTAATACTCACTACCTTTAATAGCCTACCCTTGGAGAAAAGACAGATAATGAACACTTGGAAATCTATGGTGCTGCAACTTGACCTTCATGCCATTTGGGGGAAATGAGAAAGATGACTCATAATTTATTATTTAAAGTCCTCCTTTTATAATGTGTTATTGTGAAAGATTTGACAAATAATGATTGCTCCTTTAGGAACTCTCATTTAATCAAAGAATCAGAAAAGAGGAAGAATAGAAAACTTGTGTGACTAAGCAATGTTTAATCTTATTTGAAACTGGCTCCACCACCCTGGTGATAGAAAGAGAAGGTCCTATGGAGTCTTCCCATAGCAAGAAACCCGGCTTGTAACAGGGTATAATAGAGTGACACCCCACACCTGATGCCCAGTAAATGCAGAGTCTGCAAATGCCTCTCTTTTGCGGCTTTCTCAAGGTAAGTCATAAATGAAGTCTTACTAAACAAGCTGCTTGCCAACAGTTGCCCAGGCACCCCATGGGACTGCACTTCACTGAGCATCTGAAGAAAGTATTCATTGGAAATGGGCTCTCCTGGGAGACTGTCTGGATCCCGAGTGTTTGGCGTTCATGTTCCCACACCTGGCTGCTGCTTCTTGCCCTTGCTTAGCTGTAGGTGTGAGTGCTTGTTTGTTTAAACCTCTCTCAGCATTGCTTGCAAAAACAAAACAACATGGTTACTTGTCTGGGCATTGAATGTTCTTCCTGAATTTTGGTCCTGCCCATTGGCCCAGAGGCGTAATGGGTGGGGCAAGTTTCGGGGTTAGTTTGGAAAGTTTCAAGAAGAAGCTATGGGCTGGGTCTGTTAGGTTGGGATTGCTCTTGGTTTTAATCCTTTTGGAATGTCTGAGGGTCAGGAGCATAGCCATTGATGGCTATGGGAGTTGTCAGGCTGTGACTCTCTTTCTCACAGAGAATGCCAGAGGCACCCGGGAAGGCATTTGCCAGGGCTCTGACAGATGTAAAGTAAGCCTCATCCATGTTGTGTTCTCACCGGGACACCTGGAAGGTGTTCAGTGTAGAAAAGTCACGAGCTAGATGAGATACCAGCTTGATGTCAACTCCCTCCCCAACAATGGCTGCCTGTCTTCGTCTTAATGCCTGCCAGCAGGTAAAGGGCGTGTGCCCCTGGGACCTGGGTAGCAGCAGTCCTTGGGAAACCCAGGGTTTGTCATCTGTAGTCACTTGACCCTTGGTAAATTACCTAACCTTTTATTCCACATCTCAATGAGAGCAAATCCATGTAGCAGTTAGGTTGTTAGAAGAAATGATGTTGACAACCAGATGTGAAGCTCTGATATGGTTCTTTTCTGCTATCATAGCTACTGGCTCTTTAAAGAACTGGTACAATGTGGGGGGCAGAAAAACCACATCATGCAGTGATGTTGCTCAGTCAGGCATACAGCTAGAGAAGAGCTATCACTATCCTTAGCTCCTTAGGTTTGTCCAGGGCTGCTCAGTGTGGCTGACCCTGTCTTGCTCACTCTCATGTAACCTGGCACCTACTGCAGTATCCTCTTCTTCTTGAAGGCTGTATTGCGCAGCAGTTTCCGAACTTGAGCATGCATTGGAACCCCCTGGTGTCAGTGTTAAAGCAGATTGCTGGACCCCACGCTCAGAGTCTGATTCCGTAGGTCTAGTGTGGGGCCTGAGAATTTGCACCTCTAACGTGTTCTTAGGTGCTGCTGCTGCTACTGGTCCAGGGAACATACTTAGAGAACCACTGCTCTAGTGTGCTGGAAGGAGCAGGAGCTTTGGAGTTAAGCAGATTTAAATCCAGCTGTGGCACTTACTTAATGTTGTGACCTTGAGAGATTTTTCTTAATTTCCCCAAGTCTTAGTGAACTCATCTGTAAAATGGGAATAATACTTACTTCAAGACTTTCTAGAGAATTAGATGACAGAGCACATAGAAGGTTTTTAGCAATTACCACTCTTTTTGCTATCCTGAAATGCATCGTATTTGCTCCATATGGGGAGTCACAAGAACATCTGGTCTCCTTAGCGATGTGCTGACCTTTAGGCTCTTCTTGCTAATCTATACAAGCTAATAGGAGGAGAGGAAGTGCTAACAGAAGTAGAAAGCATACTTGCCTCTGGGTGAGTGCCTAAGGGGAAGACTGAAAATGCAGATGGCTGACGTAGTTAGAATATATTAACACTTCCTGACTTGCCTGGTGGCTTACCAGCCCACACACCGTGGACTTTCAGTGAGCAGGAACAAAATCTGTGCCTGACATTCAGGTCACAAATCTCCCAACCCACAATCTGTCCTTACACCTGGGCTTTTGGAAGAAATCTTCCAATCTTGGTATTTCAGATTGGGAAACACCCAAGCTCAGGATCTCCAACCTCATCTGTATTCTTCATGTAGCATGACAATCATTTTAGTGTCCTTAGGAAACAAGTTGCCTTATTCAACTGTTCCAAGGTTTCATGATTCTCTCCAAATGCATTATCCCCTTGTCACACTAAGGATGATCCTCAAAATAGGTAACTGGTATGGAAATATATGGTAATACATAGACCAATACACACATTTTAGAAACTCCCTTTTTTTATCATATAAAGCAATATTATATGTATCATAAAACTACTTCTCTAGAGATCTGAGTAGTAGTTCTAATCATTTATGATATTGCATAATTATGCATATCATATATTCATAATTTTTGCATCTTTAGGGCTTATTTAATGTAGGTGGCCACTATCTAAATGATGCCCTTCCCTGGGCCACCATTTGCTTTGGGAACAACATCAAACTTTTTTGATAGCATTCCTATTAAAATACTCAAGTCCAGGGGCTCTTAAACTATAACCCATTGCCTCTTTTTATAAATAAAGTTTTCTTGGAACATGACTATGTCCCTTTTTAAATGTCCAGGGACCAAATGGCACTCAAAGCCAAAAATATTGATTATTTGACCCTTTTTTGACAGTTTGCAGGGGTTTCTGCCTCTAGTCAGTCAATAGGTGCAACCTGCTATCTTTTGCCACCAGAGGGCGTTGGATGTGTCACCTGGTTATCACAGCTAGACACCAGTCTGGACAAATGGGCAAAACTCAGAGAGCCTGTCTCTTGTTCCCTACCAACAGCAAGACCTGCCCTGCCACTTGCTATGCCAACACTGGGATGCTTTGCAACAAATGCCTGGGGCCACCCCCTTCTGAGGCTGCTCAGGAGCTGTAGCACACCGTCAACACTCTCTTGGGTCCCAATGCTATTATGTTTGGGGACCCTAGTGTTATCTTACATTTCTGTTCAATTTTCTTAAAGGATGGGCTGTATGCCTGGCTAAGCAACATCATTGCATGATGTGTAGACTCCATGAATGAAACTATCTAGCATCCTGTAGGAAGAGATGCAATATTTTTTAAATGGCCAAGGCAGTACATTTAGATACTGAATGTCAGTCTTCTTTTATGGAGGAAATAAAGGCTTTCATGAGTGAATTGCTAGTTTTTATTCCCTGCTACCCACACCCACAGAATGCCTTTGCTGGACTCTGTCCTCTCCCAGACCTCACTTCCTCATTACAGCTAGCTCTTCCAGCGACTCTCTGATCCTTTTTCTCTTAGAGTTTGCTCCATCAATGATCCATTTTGTCCCATCTCAGCAGCTTCTATAAGCATGTTTAAATACCATTCTAAATGAGCAAAAAACCTTGATCACCTAGCTCAACAACCTAGAGCCACTGCACCCAGCCCTGATAGGCATTGTTTCTAAATCTTTGTGACTACTTTTACTCAACTTTAATTGTTTCAAGTATTTTCATTACAATCTTTGAATTAGGAATAGAAAATTGAATTGGCAAATAGGAAAATTGTTTTTTGATTACTATGTGAAGACTTATTCTAAAGACCAATTTACTTTTTGCTTTACTTTTAACTTCTGAGTCCCTGAGAAATAGACTCTTAAGTCCCCTCCATCGTTGTCTTCCTTACTCTTCTCTGCCAAGGTTCTTAAAACAGGTGTATTCTTGTTCTCCCCGCTTCTAAGTTTCCACGCACTACCGTGAAAACTCTGGCTCCCATACACAGCATGGTGGAACTGCTCTAGCCAGGTCAGCAGACCTCTGTGGGGCCACATCCGATGGACACTGATTCAGCTCTTACCTTTCTAGAACTGTCTGCTGCATTTGACTCTGGGGAATGCTCCCTCTTTCTCGAAATTTCTACCTCAGTGCTTTTTCAACTTTTCTGACTGCAACTCAACTTTCTTGAAGGAACCTGTTATGTAGTAACCCAGTAAACACATACATGTACATAGCTGAACTTTATCCTTAACTATATGTAAGGAACTCTGATATTTCCAATTTCATTATTTTTAGTGCTAATCAAAACCAAATAAATTGATTTCACAACTCATTAACAGGTCATGTCTTGCAACTTGAACCCTTATGCTTTTGACACGCCTCTGTAATGAGTAAGGAAGTTTCTAGGAAGCTTCTTACCAGTTGATTAGCATCAAACATATAGTTTAACCTGTAAGAAGCTGTGTTGGAGGAAACCCATTAGCTTGGATGAGAGTGGGAGGAAGGTAAAGAAAAATTAGATGTAATAGGTGTTTGTGGGTGTTGATGGGGTGAAAAAGGGCAGTGATGAGAGGAAGATTGGGTTTGTAAATAGGGCATGTAGGGAGATAAAGAGGATGATTACAAAACCAGGGGAAAGAAATTTGCCTACTTGACAGGCCTATTGTGAAAATTAACTTTCAAAGTGGAAATATTATTTTGTAGTGTGTATTGTACTTTTGGAAGAAAGAGTATATTATTATGAAATAAGAATCACATATGTTTTTTCTCCACCCAATTAAAGATTGATGGAAAAAACTTCACCCAAACTGGAGCATTTTCAGTAGAGAGCTCCATTTTCTTTGCCACTTGACAATGTATTCAGACTAGATTTCTCCACTGCATTTGTGCATCACATCTAGTCAATCACTGGAGACCTCTGCATGTTTCTTAGGCTGACAGCATTTCAAGCAGAACAGAATCAGCCTAAGAAACTGGATTTTCCAGTACTATGGCTGAGATAAACTTGCCTGTTAACTTCTTAGATTCAGCGCAGACCCCTCTTCTGAGGATTGAATATATGTAAGGCATTGTTTCTTTGTTTGTTTGTTTGTTTGTTTTGAGACAGGGTCTCTGTCACCCAGGCTGTAGTGTGATGCTGCGATCATAGTTCACTGCAGTGAGTCACCTTGCCCAGCTAATTAAAAAAAAAAAAAA